CGTTTCTAAATAAGCTAGCATGTAATGGTTTGCCATATAGAGAGATGAGCAAAGTTTTGTGAAAATTCTTGAACCAAAATTTAGCTTGAGTTGGTGTTTCAGTGCTGCTAGTGCATGAGGACAAGGTAAACGTTGAACGTCAAGCACTTTACAGCTGCAAGTTTTACTAAGAAGGTTAACTAGGGCATCCGGACCATTGCCGTGTAGGGTAAACTCTGTGTGCACAAATCTTTGAATGTCCTTAGGAGATGGACCTTTCCCTTCAACAAACTGACTTTTGACAAATTTTCCAATAACATCAGTGGAGGCTTGTCGATGCTCGCCTGGAATATGTCCCAACCCACAGGTATGCTCACGGGTATATGTGCTAACAATAAATTTTTCGGACTCCGCCAACCTTCTACAATAAACCCACGACTTGCACTTTCGGTCACGACATGCAACTGTCACTACCGATTAATTAGACTTTTTGGTGATGAACTTAAAATTACCTCTCATGGCAATAAGTTTTAGCTTCCTCACCACTTTCTCCTTGTTGTCAAATAAATATCCTACGTGTAAGTTTGATCCATCAGTAAAAACATGAGGTGATTCACTACTACCTGCAATTGCCGCCTCTGAACCTACATAAAGGACCATAGTGTTCTCTTCCTCACAAACTACACCTTCTGCATAATCTGTGTTTATAGGAATCTCTACATCTACGGGAACATGTGCGAGGTCCTCCTTGTCCACATTTTCATTTTGCCCTACATGACTAGACTCTTCTATAATGTACTCCTTACCACCCAAATCACCGCCTACTCTTGATTTTTCAACAAAGAAATCAATGTCCTCATAGTTAAAATTAAAACCAACATTCTCCCCACCAACCTCCTTGTTATCCCCTTCCTTTGAACCAACTTCCAATGGTTTATCCACAAAAGAAACCCTTAAAATCGGCCTCGAACCCTTATCGTCCACATCAAGCATATATAACTTTACACTTTTATTTGACTTTAATACAACAGAGGGTACCTTATAATGTTTGAGAACTCTGCTTAAAACATACTTCACAACTATATCACTACGTGAATAACTCAAATCACCTCTTCTAATTATTTCATCAATCAACTCATCAAAATTAACCTCTGTGCTCACATCAATGGGTACAACTTTTTTGCTCTTACCAATCCACTTCCAACAACTTTCTTTCTCCACCCACTCACCAAAATATTCAACACCCAAAACAACTTGTCCCATGTCTAATAATAGCCAAGTACCAATAAGCCAAGAAAAAAATTATTAACCAATATATTAAGGGTTGAAAGATTTTAAAAAACATCTATAGAGTCACTTAAGCGATGTGGTGTATCGCTTAAGCGGTCCAATATATCGCTTAAGCGATCTTCTATCATATACCTGATCGCTTAAGCGACTTGCTGCATTATACTAGACATACCAGATTGATTAAGCGATCCATCAGATCCAATATACATTTTCAGTCATCTCCACCTATTATTGGTGCTACCACCCCCAGCTACCCACAATGCAAGAAAATAATCAACAAATTTCACTTATTTCAACTTGCATTACATCAAACACAACCCAACGACCTAAACCACTAAATCAAAACCATAACCATAACCCAAACCCAATCCATCATTAAATCTTTGTAAATCGAAATATAAAATGCAAAGAGGAGATACATATACCTGGACGAAATATCAAGAGGAGGAGGAGGCAGATCTTTGGTGGAAAAGATGTTAATGGTGGAGGAAGAAGAATGTGGTAGTGGTGGAGGAAGAATAAGGTGTTAATGGCGGAGGAAGAAGAAAAAAATTTAGAGGAAGAAGAAGATCTTCAGTTTTGCTGAGAAGAAACAACAACCAAGGGAGGGCAGTTCTGATGCATTAATGGCGGGAGGGAGGAGGCAAATGAATTGTTTGCAACAATTTCAGATTTTTGGGGACATATTGTTATTTTAAAAAGATTAGACAATACTTCATTAATCCTAATTAAGCACTAATCATGTTTAATTACTCTTAATAAAAAATAAGGCTATTTAGTTAAGAGTTTGAAACTTGATAGCCTTTTAATTAAATTTAAACTCAATATGGTCTTTTAATCAAAAGCCCCGGAAATTGAATCGACAACTGCATAATAAGAGGAAGAGAGGTGCTTTAAAAACGATATTAGAAAAAAGGAAATAATAAGTTGAACGGGCATGTTAAGTAAAGGACAATACTACACTTATAACTTAATCTCACAAACTTTATCTCACAATCGCGACATGATAGTTCGCAATTAGTCAACTCGTAAATGGATCTCGTTTGCTCAGTTGCAAACTGACCAATTACGAGTTACTATGTCAGAATTATGAAAAAAAGTTTGTAAGATTAGGTTGTGAGCCAATCTTTATCCATTAAGTATATCAATGCATCACATCGCACAAAATTTAATGATAGGTGAATGCATAAAAGTCTTATCCAACAAACATTAGCTCTTCCTGAAAAAGAAGTGATCCCATCGTGCCTTGCAATAAGGCTACCTTGTTATGACTTCATTTTAGTCATTAGCCTTGCCTTTGACACCCGCTTCTTTTAGCTTTTTTGGTAACCGTCATTAACCTTGCTTTTGACACCCTCTTCTTATAGCTTTTTTGGCAGCCGTCATTAACCTGACACCCCCTTGTTATAGCTTTTTTGGTAATCCGGGTGTCAGCTTACGTACACCTCAACTAATCTCCAAGATCCATTAAACACCCTACAAATATTTTTTGGTGACCGGAGTGTCCGAGCCAGCTTATACACACTTCAACTAATCATCGGGATCTATTGAACATCCTACAAACCTAAAGGACTAAGCAAGTCACAATATTATTATGGTAGGTGGTCTCAAGGTTTGAACCCATAAACTCAAAGAAATGACTGTCAGACCAATCCCTTGGGGTTTCTCTTTTAGCTTTGGTTATGACCAATTCCCATAATGTACGTGATGTGTAAAAGGTTTAAGAACAAATTTATTGTCATATGAGTGACTAACGATTACTAAAAATATCTACTCTTTTTATGCAATTAATTTTCCCATTTTAGGATTACGGATTAGGGATTTGAATTTGCAACTTCTAATTCACTATTTCCCTCCTTGATATCTTGCCAATTTTTTTGTATTTTATTTGAAAGGCCAACAAAAATCTATTGCATTGAAGTTTTAAATTAGATTTTAGAAAGTTTTGTTACTTTTGTATTTAAGGAATTAAAAAAACTCGATTCCTTGAGGTTTGATGTAATAAAAAAAATTTCCCTATCATGAATGAAGTGAAAGTAAGCTATTAGTATATAATCCTTCTCAATGTTATTCAATATATCTCAATAAGACAATTATCTTTGTTTAAACAATACCATATGATCAAACAGTGAACAATTCTGTGAAAAATCCGATGATTTTATGCCGTCATAATTCTCTTTGGGATAATACTATTTTTCGTATCAACCATCGAAGAAATCCAATGGTCTCACAATAAACGACCACCAAAGAATACAACGATTAATATGTGATAACATTACCCTAATATGTTTCTTGATTCTAGTCAATGTCTCAACATGCTATTAACAAAAAGATAGTAGTAAATATTAATAGATTCAGAATAAGATGTTAAAACGCCCGGCCAAGCATCCTAATCACATCAGTACAATTATATTAGAAGCTACTGCTACATACAATATACGTCAAACTAATTTGCCTTAACGAAAGTTTATCGAAGAAATTCAACGGTCTCACAATAAACAACCATCAGAGAATCCAATGATTGATATGCCATAACGTTCCCCTAATAACATATAAGTTTCCTGATTCTAGTCAATCTCTCAACATGCTATTAACATAAAGATAGCTAATCAGAAGATGTTAAAACGCCAGGGCAAGCAACCTAGTCACATCAGTAAAATTATATCCCAAGCTACTGCTACATACAACATACGTCAAACTGATTTGCCTTCATGAAAGTTTAAGTCGAAAAACTGATACCTATTCAAAGTTACCCAATATTACATGAGAATTCGATAATGAAAAAGGAATTTCTTAGCTGCTATTGACATCAAACAGATAACTAAACTTTTCCCTCAAATTCAAATCAAGATGATTAAGGTCCTCCCAGATATTGTCATGAAAATAGAAACTTTCTCCATAAGTATGCATCTCCAAGGTCTTCCTCTCTAAAGAGAACCTGTCTACAGAAGCAGGCTGAGAAAAAAATGTCGCAGTATGTTCAATCTTAACTCCCTTGAGACAATTCTGCCAACATGAAATGGGAAGGGATTGGCAACAAGTAGGAATCTCTCCTTCGTGAATAAGCTGCTTCTTGTATGAGAACTGAAACAAAAATCAATGGCAATAAACAATAGTTCTTATCCACAAAAAGGAAATTGCCTTAGGATTCAATTTATTTTTCCCATTTTCTTCTCGATAGGAAACAGAAAAGAATTTAATTACTGATCAATAGGTTATTTACCCTCATTCAGCTGAACCACTGATGACAAATATTCCAAACACAAAAAATTCATCCTAACTCTTCCTAAAAGTAAATAGTGAATTTCTTTGTTTTTTTTTTCAAAGACAAATGACAAATAATTAAGCAAAATCCTAACTCCACCTTAGAGTACATAATGCATAGTTAGAATATGTTGATTTCAAAAACTAGAATTTTATTATCTAAATTAACTATCATTTATGTTTTGATTTATCACATCAAGAGCTACTATTTGAGAGAACCTTTACCTCTTTTAACATGAAAGGCATAAACATAGTAAAACAAAAAAAAAAATGGTTAATCAATCAAAATCTCCTAATAGAACCTCACAGCATATACCAAGTCTTAAATTCGTAAATGTAATACATCCGGTACCTGAAAAGAATACTTATGACTGTCACCTAAGTGAAAACTCATCGATATAGTCTCTATATGAGGTGAAAGCCAGAGCAAGCTGTCCACTAGGTCGGGAATTGTAAAATCAAGCAGATCATCTATTTTGAGGTTCAAATGTTTGACACCGCATAAAGGGGGATGTAAGATTTGCCTCCATTCTCTAGGAACAATGAAAACCTTCACAAAAGTATATATATATTAGTAAGAAAAGAAAAGAAAAGAAATTTTGATTAAAAGCATATTTAAAAAAAGAGATTAGTAAATATAGACGTACCGCACCCGTGCAATGTTGCAAATTTAGCACTTCAGAACACCGATTAAAGTTCGCAAGAAGTTCAATATACTTAACTAAAACCTGAATATCAACCTGAATATCATCATCATTACCACAGACGTAGAGATCAGTTTCTGACAAAGCCATAGCATTTGAGGTAAAGGATATTGGATGACCCGAAAATTTGAATTTGCTTAAATTAGGAGTCTCAAGCTTTACTTCAACCAAATCAGATCCATTGATGACCAATTCCTTAAGACTAGGACTTGAAATTTTGATACTCCTTAACTCATCACAAGAAGTTATGCTTAAGAACTGGAGCAGTGAAAAATCTGAAATTACACTACATAACCAATCATCCTTTATTGAAAGCTCTGATAATAGTAAGAATTTCAGATTCTTACAAAAGGCTATATTGATCACACGTGTTTTCATATCAGTAATAGTTACTGAATGAACATTCAATGCATTGATCTCCACCTTTTCGAGTTCATCATTGTTGCTTATCTTGACTTCATGGAGCTCGCTAAGACCAAATAGCTCTAGGCTTTTAAAGCCTTCAGATGATTCAATCGTCAGATACTCAATCAATGGGCACCTAGCAAAGAGATTCTCAATCATTTGATCATCTACATAAACACCCACCAGACACAATTTTCTCAAAGACAACTGCACACCAATTCTTGGACGGGACAGATTACAGCGATACAACTCTAACACATTAATTGATTTTGCACAAAAAACAATTTGAGGCAAATTGTATCCTACCCTGAAAATTGGAAATCGAAGTCCAAGCTCATTGACATTACTTCCAATTGCAAAGCAAACACATCGATCTACCAATGCTGCAAATTCATCATCCCAAAAGAACAACAGGCTAATCATGAGCTTCGTTAAACTTATCATCTCCATGTGACGGTTTAGTAAAGTTTGTTCCATACACTTCAACACCTCTTTTGCCCTTGCAAATCGATCGCGAGTCTGATCATCATCAAGTACTAATATCGGACATGTATGCCATGTTTCTTTCCAGCTTTTAGACAATACACTAGTTCGAACAGCTTGTTTCGGTGACACGAATGACATAATATGGTGCAATATTTCATCCGGCAATGCCGATATTCTGTCAAGATTATCAATTCTGTTTTCCATCGAATCACACCCAGAGTAGCCTATAGAATAAACAAGTTTATGAAATACTATTAGAAGACAACTTATTTTACATAATCCTGAGGTTGAACAAATTTCAACATTTAAGCTACAGTCCCATGGTTAACTAAAAAGAAATGCACCCACACAGAAAAGAAAAACAAAGTCTTCCTAAGTAAAAACTTCATCTTCAACGAAAATTTTATGGGGAAAAAAAGGCCATTGCTGTACTCTGTAAGTACATGATATCAAAAATTAAAAAAACAAAAAACAAAAAGATTAAGAAAGAAATCGATATTGAAGTAAAGAAAGCACCTTTTTCACCCAAACAAGCGATTTCCCAAATGGGTCCAAGAAGGTTTTACTTACATTTGAGAGGTTGCAGATTCTTGTTTCTTAGGCTTAGGGTTACGGTTTTTAGGAGGGAAATAAAAATACAAAAAGATTAAGAAAGGAATCGATATTGAAGTAAAGAAAGCACCTTTTCACCCAAACAAGTGATTTCCCAAATGGGTCCAAGAAGGTTTTACTTACATTTGAGAGGTTGCAGATTCTTGTTTCTTAGGCTTAGTGTTACGGTTCGTAGGAGGGAATTTTTTAGTCTAGTAGAAATTGACCCGCCAACTGCATAACAGGAGGAGGAGAGGTGTTATAAAAACGATATCAGAAAAACGGAAAGAGTAAGTTGAACGGGCATTTCAAGCAGAGGACAATACAGTAATATAATTTTTATTTTGTTTATTTTACATATGCAATAAATAGATCCCGTTTGTTCAATTACGAACTGATTAGTTGCGAGTTATCACGTTAGAATTATGATAGAAAATTTATATGATTGGATTGTGAGCCAATTTTTATCCCTTAAGTATATCAATGTAATGCATCACACAAAAATTAATGATAGGTGAATTATGTATATATCATAGAAGTCGTATCCAATAAACATTAGCTGTACCTGAAAAAGAAGTGATTCAGCCTATAAACCTTAAACACCTTACAAATTTAAAGGATCAAGTAAATCATAATATTATTGTAATAGGTGATCTTAAGATATGAATCCAGAAACTTAAGGAAATAAGCAAATCTTTTTTATCGGTAGACTAATCCCTTGAGATTTTTCTTTTAGCTTTGGTTATGATCGATTCTCATAATGTACGCGATGCGTAAAAGATTTAAGAATAAATTTATTGTCATACGGCTGTTTGACGATTACTAGAGATAATATTTTATATCAAAAGATTATTGGTAAAAGTAATGATAAAACATGATTAAAAGCAAATAAGGGCACTAACAAGACTTGCAAAATAAGTTGAATTAAGGAGGCCATTGAGTCTTTTGGTGGTAGAAAGTTAGATTTTGGTAATTAGGATCGATCAGAATTTGACTTGTGAGGCGTGGCTATGCAAACTCTAATCGTTCGATTGTCGGCGATTAGCAGGGTGAGAGTAAGGTTTGAAAGGTTATGGTGAGTGATGATCGAGGAAGAGAATGGTGATGGTGTGGGATCGCAAACAAAATATAAATTTGAGTAATAAAGTGGTATTTTGAAAATTTGTGGATGGAAAATTGTCATTAAGCTATTATTTGGATAGGAAAAAGCCGTTTATTCGAAAAAGAATTGATCTAAATGCACCTTGCAATAAGGCTATACCTTATTATGACTTCATTTTAGTTACTAGTCTTGCCTTTAGCACCACCCTTTCTTTTAACTTTGGTTATGACCAATTCCCATAATGTAACATGCGACGTGTAAAAGGCTTAAAGATCAAATTTATTGGCACATAACCACCACTGGATGAAGTGATAGTAAAAAGAGCAAAAGAGGATCTAACTTGATCTTCTAAATTCGAGTCTCCATTATGGTAAAAGAACAAAATATAGAAGATTTAATATGGTCTCTCAAGTTCAAGTCCCCACAAACCCTAATAGGGCGGCAACTAGTTGAGTTCAAGTCCCTACAAACCTTAATAAGGGTGGCAACTGAGCCTTGTACCCAAAGACGATAATTTCAGAGTCCCGAAATATTAATTGAGATGCATACAAGTTGGATCGAACACACTCGGTGATAAAATAAAATAAATAAACAAGTAAAGATAAGTTGACAAAAAAAAAAGGACAGAATAGTCATTTTATATGAATTTTGTAAAATTTTTATCTATTTGTATGTCTAATTGTATGACTCGGTTGTAAGTATAACATTATTGTAAAACACCACGCCAAGAAACCTAGTCACACTGGTACAATTATATTACAAGCTACTGCCACATACAATATACGTCAAACTGATTTGCCTTCACAAAAGTTACCCAACATTACATAAGAATTCGATAATGAAACCAGAATTTCTTAGTCGCTACTGACATCTCCATCAAACAGTAACTATACTTATTCCTCAAATTCAAATAAAGATATTATCGTGAAAATAGAACCTTTCTACGGAAGTACGCTTCTCCAGGGTCTTCTTCTCAAAAGAGAACCTGTCTACAGAAGCAGGCAGACAGATAAGTGACCAAGTATGTTCATTCATAACTCCCTTGAGACAATTCTCCCAACATGAGACGGGAAGGGATTGGCAACAACTAGGAGTCTCTCCTTCGTGAGTAAGCTGCTCCCTGTATAAGAACGGAAACAAAAATCAATGGCAATAAACAATAGTCCTTATCCACAAAAAGGACATTATCTTAGTATCCAATTTCTTTATCCCATTTTCTTCTAGAGAGGAAACAGAAAAGAATTCAATTACTGTCATATTTACAGTACATAATGTATAATTAGAATATGTTGATTTCAAAAAGTAGCATCTGATTATCTAAATTAACTATCATTTATGTTTTGATTTATCACATCAAGATCTACTATTTGAGAAAACCTTTACCTCCTTTAACATGACAGGCATAAACATAGCAAAACAAACAAAAATGGTTAATCAACCAAAATCTCCTAATAGAACCTCATAGCATATACCAAGTCTTGAGTTCGTTAATGTAATATATCTGGTACCTGAAAAGAATACTTATGAATGTGAACTAAATGAAAACTCATCGATATAGTCTGTATACGAGGTGAAAGCCAGAGCAAGCCCACCACTAGTTCTGGAATTCTAAAATCCAACAGATCACCATCTATTTGGAGGTTCAAATGTTTGACAGCGCATAAAGGGGGATGTAAGATTTGCCCCCCTCTCTCATATCAAAGACTGCACACCAATTCTTGGACAGGACAGATTACAGCCATACAACTCTAAACTCATTAATGGATTTTGCACAAAAAACAATTTGAGGCAAATTGTATCCTCCCCTGAAAATTGGAAATAGAAGTTTAAGCTCTTTGACATTACTCCCAATTGCTAAGCAAACACATCGATCTACCAATGCTGCAAATCCTTGATCGTTCCAAAACAAGACAAGTGAATCATGAGCTTCCTTAAACTTACCACCTCCATGTGACGGTTTAGTAAAGTTTGTTCCATACACTTCAACATCTCTTCTACCCGTCCAAAATAACCGTGAGTGTGATCACTAATTACCAAAATGGGACATGTATGCCATGTTTCTTTCCATCTTTTAGACAATAGTAGAATCGAACAGCTTGTTTCAGTGACATGAATGACAAAATATGGTGCAAGATTGAATCCGGCAAGGCCGATATTCTATCAAGATTATCAATAACATCACAGCCTGAGTAGCCTATAGAATAAACAAGTTTATGAAATACTATTAGAAGACAATTTATTTTAAATGATTCCGAGGTTGAATAAATTTAAACACTAAGAGCTACGGTCACATGGTTAACAGAAAAGAAATGCACCTACACATAAAAGAAAAACAAAGTCTTCCTAACTAAAAACGTCATCTTCGGCGAAAATTTTAAGGGTAAAGAAAAGCCATTGTTGTATTCTGTAAGTACATGATACTCAAACATAAAAAATATAGAAAGATTAAGAAAGAAATTTAAATTGAAGTAAAGAAAGCACCTTTTTCGCCCAATCCAAACGATTTCCCAAATGGGTCCAAGAAGCTTTTACATTTGAGGGGTTGAAGATTCTTGGGCTTAGGGCTAGGGTCCTCAGGATGGAATTTCTTTAGTCTTAGAGGAAATTGACCCGCCTAGTGCTTAATAAGAGGAAGAGAGGTGTTACAGAAACGGCGTCGGACAAGAGGAAAGAATAAGTTCTGCAGCCATTTTTTGTTTTGAAAACTGCGTGATGTCAAGTGCATCAATGCACGTGCACCACATCACATAGTTAATGAAAGAAAAATACGCTTATAATTTAGTCTCACAATTCTAATGTAATAGCAAAATTGACTCTATCACGTTAACTGATGACTTTGACTAAACATGAACAATCGTTCCTTAAAGACGAACGATTATTCTTCATTAAGGAATGACTATTTGAAACGATTGTTCATTTATAAAGAACAATCATTTATTATAAAAGAACGACTATTCATATTTAGTCAAAGTCATTTTGTGTTTTGGGTATGGTTAGAGCTCACAATTGCCAATTCAGCTGTCACGTTGAGATTGTAAGAGAATGTTGTGAGATTGAGTTATGAACATAGTATTACTCTTAATGAAAGGTGAAACGGTTAATAAGCAACTCACTTCCATCTCATGTTGTCATAGATACAAATTCTATTCAATTTGTTTTGGTACCACTTTCAGGGATGGGTGAACATTCATTTCAATATCCTATGGTAATTGGATGCATCCAAATTTCAATCTTGAAATTCCTGACAAAGGGATGGTCATATTATCATAAAAGTTGAATACAACAAACATTAGTTCTTCATGAAAAAGAAGTGATCCAACCACACCTTGCACTAAAGCTACCTTGTTATGACTTAATTTCAATCACTAGCCTTGACTTTGTGTCACAGGCCTAGAGTTTTCATGCAACGTAACAATCTGTGCAGCTCTTTAGCATCCTACTTAAGAGGGGTAAGCCTACACGTATGTCATTCATCGGCTTGAGGTCTACTGCTTTCGTCTTGTCATGGACTCATTATGGAAGCGGCTCCAACACTCGACCAGTTTGTACAGGGATAGCCCAATCCCTTCTTCATCATCGACTATGAAAAACAACTCCTAACGGTTCTTGCACTCCCCTTTCATGGAGTATCTCCTTCTTAAAAAGTCTTTTGAAGTATTGCCAATATGCCAGGAAGAAACACGTCACGTCTCAACTATCACATCCCATGTGAATGCTTTGCAAAACTCTTTTACCTCGTACATTTACTACACTTGTTGCTTTTGTCACGACATTACAGAATAAGGTCGTGACAATTTGACACCCCCTTCTTTTAACTTTGGTTATGACTAATTCCCATAGTGTGTGTGACAAGCGATGTGTAGAAGGCTTTAAGAACAAATTTATTGTCATACCACTGATTGACAATTACTAAATGTAGTATTTATATCAAAAGATTATATGTAAAAGTAATGAAAAAACATGATTAAAAGCAAATAAGGCAGTAATAAAATTCACAAAATAATTTGACAAAAAGTGTTGCCATTGGTGAGTATAGCAATACAATATTACTAGGTCTACAATTTAATCTCATAACATTCTCTCACAATCCTCGATGTGACAGCTCGTAATTGGTTAGCTCTCAAATGGGAAAGCATGACTCATAGCAAACAAGCGAGACCCATTTACGAACTAACCAATTACAAGCTGCCACATCAAGGATTGTGAGAGATTATTGTAAGATTGGGTTATTGACCTAGCATTACTCATAGCAATAACTCAATCAAAATTTCTAGCTGGGTTCCCCAAAAAAAAAAAAACTTAAAATGAGTGGCTAAAACCCTAAGTGGGGTCATAAAAACACATGGCCAAGTCACCAAGTCCTTGATGTTCGTCTTGTTTTAATGTTTAGGTTACAAACATATCCACCTCCACCACCATCGAGACAACTCCCCCACAAACACCATTTCACAAGGTTGACCCCACCAACAATATATAAATTACCCCAGCAAAAATCAAGTTAAAATATCTACTCTTTTTATTCAATTTTACATACCCATTTTAGGATTAGGGATTTGAATTTCCTACTTCCAATTCGCTATTTCCCTCCTTGATATCTTGCCAATTCTTTTATCTTTTGTATTTTATTTTAAAGGCCATCAAAATCTATTGCATTTAAGTTTTAAATGAGATTTTACAAAGCTTTGTTACTTTTGTATACAAGTAATTAAAAAAACTGGATTCTTTGAGGTTTGATGTAATAACAAAAATTTCCTTCCGAATGATATTCAATATATCTCAGTTTATAAAGACAATTATCTTTGTTTAAATAATACCATATGGTCAAACAGTGAACAATTATGGGAAAAATCTGATGATTCTATGCCATCATATTATTTTTCATATCAACCATCGAAGAAATCCAACAGTCTCACAACAAACAACCATCAGAGAATCCAATGATCGAAATGCCATACCGTTCCCCTAATAACATATAAGTTTCCTGATTCTAGTCAATCTCTCAACATGCTATTAACATAAAGATTGCTAACCAGAAGATGTTAGAACGCCAGGGCAAGCAAAATTACTTCACAAGCTACTGCTACATACAACATACGTCAAACTGATTTGCCTTCATGAAAATATAACTCGAAAACTGATACCTATTGAAAGTTACCCAATGTTACATGAGAATTCGATAATGAAACCAGAATTTCTTAGTTGCTACTGATATCAAACAGATAACTATTTATCTCCATCAAACAGATAACTAAACTTATTCCTCAAATTCAAATGAAGATTATTAAGCTCATCCCAGATATTGTCGTGAAAATAGAACCTTTCTCCGTAAGAACGCTTTTCTGAGGTCTTCCTCTCTAAAGAGAACCTGTCTACAGAAGCAGGCTGAGCAAAATATGTCGCAGTATGTTCAATCTTAACTCCCTTGAGACAATTCTGCCAACATGAAATGGGAAGGGATTGGCAACAACTAGGATTCTCTGCTTTGTGAATAAGCTGCTCCTTGTATAAGAACTGAAACAAAAAATCAATGGCAAAAAAAAAATAGTTCTTATCCACAAAAAGGACGTTGTCTTAGGATCCAATTTATTTTTCCCATTTTCTTCTCGATAGGAAACAGAAAAGAATTCAATTACTGATCAATAGGTTATTTACCCTCATTCAGCACTACATAATTCCAAAAATAAAAAATTCATCCTAACTCTACCTGAACTACATAATGAATTATTATTATTATTATTTTTTTTTTTAAAAGACAAAATGATAATTAAATATTGCTCTTCCTTAAGCAAAATTCTAACTACACCTAAAAGTACATAATGCATAATTAGAATATGTTGATTTCAAAAACTAGCATGTTATTATCTAGATTAGCTATTGTTTATGTTTTGATTTATCACATCAAGAGCTACTATTTGAGAGAACCTTTACCTCCTTTAACATGAAAGGAATAAACATAGTAAAACAAACAAAAATGGTTAATCAATCAAAATCTCCTAATAGAACCTCACAGCATATACCAAGTCTTGAATTCATTAATGTAATATATCTGGTACCTGAAAAGAATACTCATGTCTGTGACCTAAGGGAAAACTCATCGATATAGTCACAATATGAGGTGAAAGCCAGAGCAAGCTGTCCACTAGTTGGGGAATTGTAAAATCAAACAGATCATCATCTATAAGGAGGTTCAAATGTCTGACACCGCATAAAGGGGGATGTAAGATTTGCCTCCATTCTCTAGGAACAATGACAACCTTCACAAATGCGAAAAAAGAAAAAAAGAAAAAAAAAATATTAGTAAGAAAAGAATTTTTTTAAAAGCATATTTAAAAAGAGAGATTAGTAAATGTAGACGTACCGCACCCGTGCAATGTCCCAAATTTAGCACTTCAGAACACTGATTAAATTTCGCAAGAAGTTCAATATACTTAACTAAAACCTGAATATCAACCTGAATATCATCATCATAACCATAGATGTAGAGATCAGTTTCTGACAAAGCCATAGCATTTGAAGTAAAGGATATTGGATGACCATGAAATCTGAATATACTTAAATTAGGAGTCTCAAGCTTTACTTCAACCAAATCACATCCAATTATGACCAATTCCTTAAGACTAGGACATGAAATTTTGATACTCCTTAACTTATGACAATAAGTTATGCTTAAGAACTGGAGGAGTGAAAAATCTGAAATTACATTACATAACCAATCATCCGTTATTGAAAGATCTGATAATACTAAGCATTTCAGATTCTTACAACAGGCTACATTGATCACACATGTTTCCATATTAGTAATAGTTACTGAATGAACATTCAATGCATTGATCTCCACCTTTTTGAGTTCAGCATTGCTACTTATCTCGACTTCATGGAGTTTCCTAAGACTAAATAGCTCTAGGCTTTTAAAGCCTTTAGATGATTCAATTGTCAGACACTCAATCAATGGGCACCTAGCAAAGAGATTCTCAATCATTTGATCATCTACATAAACACCCACCAGACACAATTTTCTCAAAGACAACTGCACACCAATTCTTGGAGGTGACAGAGTACAGTGATCCAACTCTAACACATTAATTGATTTTGCACAAAAAACAATTTGAGGCAAATTGTATCGTCCCCAGAAAAATGGAAATCGAAGTTTAAGCTCTTTGACATTACTTCCAATTGCAAAGCAAACACATCGATCTACCAATGCTGCAAATTTATCATCCCAAAACCAAGCCAAGCTAATCATGAGCTTCCTTAAACTTATCATCTCCATGTGACGGTTTAGTAAAGTTTGTTCCATAAACTTCAACACCTCTTTTACCCTTGCAATATCACGGTGAGGGTGATCTTCAAGTACCAAAATGGGACATGTATGCCATGTTTCTTTCCAACTTTTAGACAATACACTAGTTCGAACAGCTTGTTTCAGTGACACGAATGACAAAATATGGTGCAATATTTCATCCGGCAATGCCGATATTCTATCAAGATTATCAATTCGGTTCTCCATCGAATCACACCCTGAGTAGCCCATGGAATAAACAAGTTTATGAAATACTATTAGAAGACAACTTATTTTAAATAATCCTGAGGTTGAATAAATTTAAACATTTAAGCTACAGTCCCATGGTTAAGTAAAAAGAAATGCACCCACACAGAAAAGAAAAACAAAGTCTTCCTAACTAAAAACTTCATCTTCAGCGAAAATTTTATGGGGAAAAAAAGGCCATTGCTGTGTTCTGTAAGTACATGATATCCCAAAAAAAAAAAACAAAAAAACAAAAAAACAAAAAGATTAAGAAAGAAATCAATATCGAAGTAAAGAAAGCATCTTTTTCACCCAAACAAGCGATTTCCCAAATGGGTCCAAGAAGGTTTTACTTACATTTGAGAGGTTGCAGATTCTTGTTTCTTAGGCTTAGGGTTACGGTTTTCAGGAGGGAAATAAAAATACAAAAAAATTAAAAAAGAAATCGATATTGAAGTAAAGAAAGCACCTTTTTTCAACCAAACAAGCGATTTCCCAAATGGGTCCAAGAAGGTTTTACTTGCATTTGAGAGGTTGCAGATTCTTGTTACGGTTTTTTGGAGGGATTTTTTTTCAGAAAATTTGTGATATGCCTTCCCAAGTTTCGAATTGGGAATATAACCTTGAAAAGGTTTTTGATTTTGTTTTTTTGGATTAAAAAATCTGACATGGCACACTAAAGTTTAATTAAAACAGTAAAAAGGGTTAGAGTGAAAAGATTTAAACGTTTGTGGGTTAAAAAAATTTGATTTAAAATTTGAAAGGCAAAATACACTCCTCTCAATTTCTCTTTCTCAAAACACGATTCAAACACCTTCCTCTCTCTCGTTTTTTCTTCCAATTTTCTGCCATTTCTCAATTTCTTTGCTCTTTGCATTTTTCCATTCCTTGCCATAATTGGTTAAGTTACAATGGCTGAGATTCTCAAAGAAATCGGAAAAAACCCATCCACTCCCCAAATTATAGGCACCATTGGGTCTACCAAAAATGGAGAAGAAGAGGTTGCGATGGAGCAAATTCCGATGACTGAAGTTGCTCCATCGGCAGAGGACACCTCGCCAGCAGAGGAGAGGGCGTCGGCAGAAGAAATCCCGCCGCTAGAAGAAGGGACGACAGGATTCAAAATTGAAAATGAAGAGGAGGACGTCAGCGTAAATTCCTGCATGGAGGTGGAAGAAGAGGAAGAACAAGTAATAATCTATATATTTTATGAAATTATTGGTTGTTGGTGCCAATTTAGGGGATATTTGGTTGGTGTTTGTTGTTAAGGTCATTGTTGCATTTTGTCGAACAGTTAGAGGGCATCGGAGGAGTGGGTGTTTTGGCTTCCAGAAGACTGGGGAACCAAAGGGAGGCCCTAGAAAGGTTGTTTGTAGTAGGTTGGATGGCTTTTGTTGGCAAAGAGAGCGGAATAGGGGGGGCTAAGGGCTTGCCTACATATTGCAAGTCTGTCCACGCGCAACTAAAGTGGTATTTTAAAAATTTGTGGATGGGAAAGATTCATTAAACCATTATTTTAATAGGGAAAAGTCGTTTACCCAAAAAAGAAGTGATCCTACTGCAGCTTGCAATAAGGCTATACCTTATTATGACTTCATTTTAGTTACTAGTCTTGCCTTTAGCACCATCCTTTCTTTTAACTTTGGTCATGACCAATTCCCATAATGTAACATGCAATGTGTAAAAGGCTTAAAGAATAAATTTATTGTCATATAACCTCACTGGGTGGCCTGTTAGTAAAAAGAGCAAAAGAGGATCTAACCTAGTCTTCCAAATTCAAGTCCCCATGATGGTAAAAGAACAAAAAATTTAGGATCTAACATGGTCTCCCGAGTTCAAGTCCTTACAAACCCTAATAAGGGTGGCAACTAGGCGAGTTCAAATCTCTGCAAACCCTAATAAGGGTGGCAACTGGGCCTTGTACCCAAGGCCGACAATTTCAAAGTCCTCGGAGATTAGTCGAGATGCATACAAGCTAGCCCAAACATACTCGGTGATAAAATAAAATAAAATATGAATAAAAATAGGTTGACAAACACTTCTCACAACTTTATCTCACAAACGCGATGTAACAGCTTGCAATTAGTTAGCTCACATTTGGTTAGACAGGACTCATTGTCGGATAGACATAACCCATTGCAAGCTAACACGTCGCGTTTGTGAAAGAAAGTTAGTGAGAAAGGTTTGTGAGTGTAGTATTGTCCTAAAAAAATTATTTTCATACGAATGGTTGACGATTACTAAAGATATTATTTTATATTAAAAGATTGTATGTAAAAATGACGATAAAACATGATTAAAAGCAAATAAGGCAACTATAAGGCTTGCAAAATAAGTTGACAAAGGTGTGTGAAAGGAAGTAGTAGTCACTTAATTAACTTGAATCAACTCTTATCGTCATTATCAATTTCTTTGTTTTACATGATAGAATTTCCTAGTACTACCCACTTGTTTCATTTGCATAACTCATTCAAGAAACAAGCTTCTGGTTTGTAAATAATTTTTCTCAATGTTATTCAATACATCTCAACATAAAAAAACAATTATCTTTGTTTAAATAAAATCATATGGTCAAATAGTGAACAATTGTGAGAAAAAACCACTGATTTTATGCCGTCATAGTTCGCTCTGGGTAATATTATTTTTCGTATCAACCATCTCCAATGGTTTTGCAATAAACGACCATCGAAGTATCCAATGATTGATATGCGATAATGTTACCCTAATAACATATAAGTTTCCTAATTCTTGTCAGTGTCTCAAAATGCTATTAACATAAAGATGGCTAGTAAATATTAATAGATTTAGAAGATGCTAAAATGTCGAGTAATGTTATACTTATAACTGAGTTATACAACCAAACATACAAACAGGCAAAAAAATAGGATAGGGTGGTCATTTTACATGAGTTATATAAAATTTTTATTTGTTTATATATCTGGTTGTATGATTTAGTTGTACACATAATATTATTCTAAAACACCAGGCCAAGAAACCTACTTACACCAGTACAATTATAGTACAAGCTCTTGCTACATACAATATACGTCAAACTGATTTGCCTTCACGAAAGTTTAAGTTGAAAACTGATGCCTATTCAAAGTTACCCAACATTACGTGAGAATTCGATAATGAAACATGTTGATGCTTGATTTTGACACCAACTAATCACACGTTGGAAATGTTGAGCAAACTCAAAAGTCACACGTGAATATGGGGGTGTTTGATTGAATATGGGATGAAGAACAATATTTAAAGTGGTTCGGATGCTCAAACAAGCGAATCCTACGTCCACTGATGTTGTATTAATGTATAAAGTCAAGTTGTGTTCAGCGAGCTGATTTATAGGTTTGAGAGTACAAGGGGGGAGAGAGAGAGAGGGAGGGGGAGAGAGAGAGAGAGAGAGAGAGTTGTTTCAGAGTAAAATTTAGACAATCCCACAAATGGGAGAGGAGCCCTCTATTTAGTGGGATGGATTAAGGTAATGATTACTAAATTTGTGGTGAGGCAAATGCCGTGCAAATCCTTCTCTGTGTCCCATTGCTCACCTGCTCGAGTGATTTTCTCGACTTGTGTAGGGATTGGACATGTGAACCATTTCTAGCCTTTCGCCAATCTGGCGCATACCCACTGCACTAGCAGAAGCATGCCGCTCACATGCTGACAAGGCTCTGATTGTCCATGTTGACAAGGCTCGGCGTCAACCCTACTTTCTCAGGCATAACAAAACCAGAATTTTTTAGTGGCTACTAATATCTCCTTCAAACAGATAACTATACTTATTCCTCAAATTCAAAATAAAGATGATTACTGCAGTTTGTGTATCGAATATCATAGGCGCATAAGGATGTCCGAGTATTGACGATGAAAGTGAGGAAGAAGATGATGTAGAGATAACAAGGGTGCATCATTTGAGAGAAATTGAAGGAGAAAAGAGTAGGTAGATGATCCAAGTAAGAGTATGGATAGAAAACTATAAAAGCCGTGATGAAAGTGAAGGATATTTCATTTCTTGTCTCATTAGGAGAAGACATTGCAACAGCTCTTAAAGAATATGAAGCTTGATTTGGAATTAGTCCAGGGTGTTAGCTAATATTAAATAGGCTTAGATTATAATTAATCATGAAAAGTCTATATGCTATTGAAAATTTTATTAAAGTGGTAGAGAATTTCACTTAAACAAATGTACGGTGTCCATCATATGATTCACAATGCTAGCAAGAGATAAAGCAGAGGCGTATGAGGTAAGAGACATGACAATGGGACGATTAGAACAGAGAAACATAGTAATAAGTTATCAAAATATTCACCAACAAGTTCAACACATCAAACATACAAGAAGAGTTAACATTTAATGAATGTGGTATAGTCGATTAGGTATGCTAACAAACATCTTGCTTGCAATTGATCCCGTCTGAAACATTATAATTTCAAATGTAATTAAGGTGAAATGTTGGAAAATTCATTTGGTCTTATAATAGATAACGCTATGAAGAAGTTGGATACAACCGTATTTCAGATTCTCACAAGAGGCTATATTGATCACACATGTTTTCATCAGTAATAGTTACTGAATGAACATCCAATGCTTTGATCTCCACCTTTTTGAGTTCATCATTGTTACTTACCTTGACTTCATGGAGTCTGTTAAGACCAAATAGCTCTAAGCTTTTAAAGCCTTTAGGTGATTCAATTGTCAGATACTCAGGCAATGGGCACCTAGCACAGAGATTCTCAATCATTTGATCATCTACATAAACATCCACTGGACAAAATTTTCTCAAAGACTGCACACCAATTCTTGGACTGGACAGATTACAGCCATAAAACTCCACAACTCCAACTCATTAATGGATTTTGCACAAAAAAAAATAAAAAATAAAAAATAAAAAAATAAAAAACAATTTGAGGCAAATTGTATCCTCCTCTGAAAATTGGAAATAGAAGTTTAAGCTCTTTGACATTACTTCCAATTGCAAAGCCAACACATCGATCTACTAATGCTACAAATTCTTGATCGTTCCAAAGACAAGACAAGCTAATCACGAGCTTCCTTAAACTTACCATCTCCATGTGACGGTTTAGTAAAGTTTGTTCCATACACTTCAACATCTCTTCTACCTGTCCAAAATAACCATGAGGGTGCGCTTGG